TCATTATTGAAGTGGGTAAATACATTTACGTGTACAAGTATTCAAAACTATTTATATTATAGTTAGTGTATTCCCAAATGAATTTGAATTTTTGTTAAATTATTAGTGAAAAGTTAATGGTAAAGTTATACAAAATTGAGAGAGGAAAATGGAATTATCATATAAGAGATTGGGAAATAAATCAAAGTAATTTGCATAAAAAAGTAGACTTTGTTTAGTGGAAAACATGACAAGATTTGCCAAAAGTAATGATAATTTAGAAATGGGAAATGGGTTCCAATCCAAGCATATTGGACTTGCAACTAACACCCAAAATTTAATTTTGTTTTGAAATGATTTTTGAACCATATTAAGAAGCCTCAAAGAGGAGGGAAAATGTGACAACAAAAAGTACACGTGGCAGAAGCCGACACAGCTCAAGCATTTTGCCACATGGACCCCCTGTCAGCATGTTTTGCCAAGTGGACAATTAGGGTTTTTCCATATTAATTAATTTCAGCCTCTCTCTCTCTTGTTCATGAACTGGAGTTTCCCCATCTTATCACCAATTACCCACTACAATTTTGTCTCCCCATTAGTGCATTTTAATTTGGTCAACATTAAGCAAATGAAAAGTTGAGCTTGTTTTGGCCCATCAAACCTCTTTCCCCTTTTCATCACTATCTCACGTGGAGGACAGAGAAMCACCCACGTAAACTACAATTTTGGGTAAGTCCATCTCAGATCTTTCGAACTAGATCACATAGTTATTTTTCTTTTGTTTTACATCTTTTGAGAGTTCGACCTACTCCAAGGCCGACATGTCCGACCTGCCGTCCAACACGAATAACCGCTAGTCAGGAAGTTTGTCGGATCCCAAACATATAAATAGAGGGCATCATTTCTACATGAGGTATCGAATTTCTACTCAAACTTGCTATTGAGTCCGATCTATTTTACTGACTTGAACATCGGAGAGTTTGCTTTCTTATGCAGGTCATTCCGCAGCGTACCAAGTCGGCAAGCTTCCGAGTCCGACCTTGTTCTAATTCTTGCATTAACAAATAACTAAATTAAATATCATAGACGAGATATAAAATTAAAAATTTAGAAATGTTTTAGGGCTAAAATTGTAATTCAAGTCTGAAATAACCCATTTAAAATGAATCCATAGGATGGGAAAATGTTGTCCCATGTCTTTACAATTGCATAGGGCATGTAATTATAAAACTTGTCCTTACTCCTTAGGCTTATCAAGCATTTTCAAATATGTACTTTAGTTTTTCTTTTTTTCATTTTAGTGTTCTGTCTTTCAATAATGATCTTTAGTCTTTTTTTATTAGAGGTAGGGGTCTCAAGAAAACAGTTGTGAGTCCAACTATACTACGTTGTTGGTCAAAATTAATGAAGTTGAAAAACTTCTTATAAAAAACCTTCAAATTGAAAAGACCAGAGTGGCTCAAGATGCTACCGCGTCTTAGGCAAAATTTTGATATAGATGTCTTGATATTTAAAATATTATCTAAAATTTTAATTTTTTATTAATATGATAAAGTAAGCAAATATTGATGTATCGAATAATATGAAATAAATAATTTTTAAAAAGTAAAAGAAATGGAGCGAAAAAATGTGGAATTTKGAAGCTACTAGATAAATTTAAGCAAATAAAAAACTTGAAGATTTGATTTCTATTCTAGCAATAATATAATCGCACCTGAAGTTGGGAGGCCATAAATGGATGAAAGTTGGTAGAGACGAAATTAATTAAATTATTCTAACCTATACAATATATTTGAAGGAAAAGATTAAACAAAAAAATTACAGATTTCTTTTCAAAATAAAATAAAATTTAGAGGTCAATTATAATTGAAAAGAATCTAGGAGGCTTATTAATTATGTATTTTCTAAAAAACAGTTGCATTTAATTGAAGGCCTTTTTCCCAAAAAAAAAAGAAGAAGAAGAAAAGTATACATATTATTAATTTGTATTTTCAATATTATAAGCACAATAACATATATAATTTTATATTCTAAATTATATTTATAATTGAAAGTTAAAATAAATCTTTTAAGTATATATATTATAGAGATAATATCTTCGGAGGTGTATTTTAGAAACTTATTTACGTAAATGTCTAAAGTTTCCCAATTTTACAGTTTTAGATTTCTCCACGTAGGATTTTTTTTAAATGCYGATTTTACCCTTATTTATTATATACACTTTTATTATAGTTTTTTTATTATTTTGAAATTTAAAATAATTAATTCCATAATTGTAATCATATTTCTTTAATTATTGTGGACCCCATATAAATTTTCAACACTAATCYCTTAATTCACTCATCCAAAAAAGATTTTTCCTATAATTTACCATTATTATTAATTAAAAAAATATCCAATTTTGATCCAACAATATTTTTTCATATGATTTCCGTGTGAAGTTCCCACACAATTGACCACTCSAGTTTGAAATTGTTTGATTAAATTACATTGGRGCCAACCACACTATCAATTTTTGGGGTTTCCTTTCACAAATCCATGATGGTCTCCTAGGTAAATAAAATAGCTAGAATTATGTATAAGATATATACCACATATACAATATATTCTAATATTTACAATATATGTTGCTTCAGTCAATATATTCTCATATACTATATATTCTCATATATTCCCATATATACAATATACGGTTATAACATATATTCTACTTGTACTTTTGAAATCTACTATTATTCACATGATGTAATTAACATTATGTATATACGTCTTTTAAGTAAGATCTAATTTACATATCACATATTATTATAGAATATTAACAATTAARTATTCATTTGTATATTTTTATGATATAACGTATATACCATGAAGACTTTTGAATTCAAATATTATTATGGATACGGTTAATATAATTTATATACCTATTAATATTGTTTTATAACTTACAAACTATGTATTATTCAAACTTTATAGAGAATAATTAGATATCAATGTCAATGATTTGTATTTCTATAAATATTATGGAACTAAATGTATACACTATAAGATATATC